CTTCTTGTGCCGCTTCTGCCTTCTCTGCTTTTTTTATTGCGGAGAACTAGTTACTTGGTGTAAGTATTATTTCGGCAACCCAATGCTGTTATCGGGGATCTACTTAGTCTGTACATTGTTTTGCTGCATTTCACTGGCCAGCATGTGAATCAACTACAACCTCATACACCTAGTTCCCAAATAATGCAGAAAACAACACCAGATGTTCTCAGTAACCTAACCCAGAATAATAAATTATTAAAACTTCCTATCGGGAGCAGGGCAGAGGGGGGAGCTGTGCCTCCAAGGATATGGGGATGAATGTAAATGCTATAAAACAGAAAGAAAAGATAATAAATAAAATAATTAACTTGAAAGATAATAGGTAGTTAGGTACTCCCTGTATGAAAACGCCTTTTTTTACAGTCTTTTGCAAAGAAACTAAGAGTTTTTATTAAGAGTTGTTTGAAACAGATTCCATAAGGCACCGGCCAGGACTGGCATCGGCACATCTTTGTTCAATAGATTCCATAATGCAATCGGGTGCTTAATTAGGGCATGGAACTTTTTGCCAACTTCTGAATTTGGCTCCCACAATTGGACCATTGATCATATTAGCGTGCATCATTGTTCTCTGCAAGCTTTGTTAATTTTGCAATGTTAAGTGCCGGGCAAGAAATGGTTTGTCGATCTGCTGTACGATGCGGCTTGGCCTTATAACATGGTATGAAAGTAACATTAATGTTGCATTTGTAGCTTGTTCCTTGCATTTCTGGGCATTATTTCAGAAATAAAAAATTTAGAGGATGTGCTTTGCAGCTCATCATTGCTGCAAAGAACTCAAGATGTTCCGAGCTTATAAATATCTGTGACACGGTTTGCAATTGCTGTGTCTAATTAAAGGGGCATTGTAGATTATTTACTATTTTTTTGCGTGGCGGGTGTTGTACATTTACATAGGCTTTATCCTGTTTAGAGTGTGCATGTGTTCGGAGCTGTTTCAACTGGGGAGTGGTGCAACTGATCACTGTACCAGAGAACTAGACTCTATCAACAGCTCAAAATGTTTGTGTAATGCTGCAACAATAAGCAGAGAACAGCAATTGAAAGCAATATAGACCAGTGAGTGAGCTATTGAGCTGCAAGTTACTAAGAACAGCAGTTGAAAGTACATGCACAACTATTAGTTATCACCCTACTTTTATAATTTTTTACAGAAAACTGTCACTTTCTTTATTTTTTCCAAAACACTACAACTATTTTGATTGGCTGTTCCAAAAAACACTAGTTGCTGGACGGTTATGTCTTTCCGGTTTATGACATGGATGGGCCTGCTTGTCAGGTCCACGTGGCACAAAAGTCAACACCATTATCTGAACGGTTAACTTCAGCCATTTACGGACCAGTGGGATCCACATGTCAGCCACACTAAAATCCATAATGAACCTCTTTTTCCCAAAGAACATGGAACTCCATGCTGCCTTGCCCCCTCTCCCTTCCGAGAGCGCCGCCTGATCTCCCGACCAACATCAGCTGCAGCGGCGCGACATGACCTACACACGAGCTCGGCGTTGACGGAAGCACCACTAGGGCACGACGGGGGAGGCACGCAGGAGAGCGTCGGTGGCAAGTAGCGGCGGCGACAAGCAGACAAGAAGCGGCAGCAGCGGCCCCAGCATGTAGAAGCAGCGGCAAGCAAAAGCAGAGGTGGCGTCCAACCACAATCTCCGCCGCACGCTGGACTGCGGCGCACTCAGCAGGAGCTCGACTACGGCGTGATCTTCACAAGGCCGCGGCGGGGCAGAGCTCTGACGGCGCTGGCCACAGGCTAAGCACGGTTGTGCCCCCTGATCAAAGGGGGCGCAGGGACCTATGCAGCAGCACCACCACGGTGCAGCCAAGGCCGCAGCAGCCACGACTAGCCGCCACCACGGCCGACTTGCTTTTTAAAAACACTAACAGGGCTCCGATTGCTTTTTTAAAAGTTCCATAGACTCAATTGCTTTTTTAAAAATAGTTACAGGGACTTGGTTGCTTTTTCTAAAAAGTTACAAGGATCTGATTGCTTTTTAAAAAGATTTATAGAGACTTGATTGCTTTTTAAAAAAAGTTACAGGGGCCAGATTGATTTTTATTTTTTAAAAGGGACGGACGTGTGGACTCCACCTATCATAACGGTCAACCTAATGGTCAAAGCTAATAGTGTTTACTTTGAAGTCATGTTAGACCTAACGGGTGGGCCAGCGTGGTCATAACCGCGGTTTAATTTAACGCTCGAACAACTAGTGCTTTTTGCAACATCGAACCAAAATAGTTGTAGCGTTTTAGGAAATGAAAAAATGGTAGTTTTTTATAACCCTAACCCATAATGTGATAGTTTTTAACTATTTACTACGCAGAATTGGTAGCACGCCCCAGTGATAGGGCATCTGAGGCTGCATATGATCTGTTTTAGTGGCTGCTTGGTATGTATTTGATGGTACATAAGAGAAATTTTTTAAGGATTAGATTGTCCGGATTTCTAGAAGTACCGCTCTCTGCATAAATGCAACCACAACACCAAATAAACATTAGGGTTCCTTCGCCTCCCATTGGCGCCGTTGCCGGTCCGGCTAGTCTCCGGTGGCCTTAGGGCCATGGGGCACAGTGGATCCCGGCAATTGCCGGCGGAAGGGCTCCGTTTTTAAATGTTTCTTTGAGTTTTGTTACAATTTGTGTCATGCTCAGGAAAGTGAGACGACGGCGAACTCTAAAGATGGAATAAGGTTCTCCCCGCTTAGCTCCTATTTCGTTGGTGCGCAAAGCATTATCAGTGGACATGCGGAGGTTATCCAAAGGTGGTCTGCGGACTTGGATGTAATATATATATATATACTATACACTCACATTATGCTTCCTAGTTCTTAAGGTCTCACAATCAATTGAGATCCCCAATTAAAATTGGGTCTCGCGAGTTCGACTGAGTCAACAATTTCTCAAAAATCACTCATTCAATTCTTTTATATTATACACTATGTTTTCTAATTTAAATTAATCAAGGTCTTTAATTTAGAATTGGTCACCTGATTTTGACCAGGTCAACAATTTTTTAAGGAGCTCTCACATTTAATTATTTTAATTCACTATGTTCCCTCATTAGACACTCTTTCGTTCGATTGAGGTATTCAATTTTGGGTTTGGTTTACTGTTTTGATTAAGCCAATGTTTTTTCAATTCAACCAGAAGCAATTGGCCTAGAAAAACATATCAACCCCCGCGCACCTCGCACCACCTAGACCACCATGTGGTGATACTATAGCACCAATATAGTACATGCAACCACAGACACAGAAATTCCCTCACATAAATATGATTTGATTAGTTGATTCCCCAGAATCACACCGAGAAAGACCCACCAAATAAACACATTACAAATAAACATAAAAAAACTTCATTATCGCCCCTACCCGCCAAACTAAATATTCCATCACGTCCAAAATATAAGGGGGCATTTTTTTTAAACTCAATTTTATTTAACTTTGACCAAGTTCAGAGCCAAAAATATCGACATCCACAATATTAAACCAAAAATATGAAAATTCATTTCATGATGAATCTAATAACACCGATTTGATATTATGAATTTTAATATATTTCTCCATAAATTTGATCAAACTTAAAAAGGTTTGGCTTTAAATAAGGAACCAGATGTAGATGAATATTTTTTTTGAGCATCAGTACAGACACAAGCACTCATATACACACGCATACACTCACCCCTATGAACGCACACACGCACACCCTACCGCTATGAGCACCTCCGAGAGATCGTCTCCTCCCACTGAAAGCGCATCGCCGGAAATCCTGAAATAAATCCAGGAATAATGCGAGCACCAGGATTTGAACCCTGATGGGTTGGGATACCACTGTCCACCTAACCAACTCAACCACAGGTTGATTCACAGATGTAGATGAATAGATGATAAGTTTACTGTGAAAAAACCAATTGTTGGGGGTTGCCGGATGGGAACAGGGCGCAACTGGTGCCGGCGTGCGTCAGTTCTTCTAGAGTGTTCGCTCAAAAAAGAAAAAGAAAAAACCCCAACCCCAACCCCAGCTTCTCCCCTCTTCCCATATCCTCCTCCGTTTGATCTCATCTGCTCTGGTGGTGTTCCTCTGTAGATCTGGTGACTTAATTTGCTCTGATTCTTCCTTTATTGTGAGATTGTGTGCTAATTGTGCAGTTTAATAAATATGTACCTCTTGTTTTTTCACAGGGAGGATCAGACGTTGGGTTTTGTAGCTATTGTACTCCACCGCCCATAGCCACCCCTGTTCTTCTTACATCGGCCAAAAGGGTGAAGCAAGATCCGAGTTTTCCCCAAGCCTTGCCGGTGATTCCGGCCATGGTGGCGAAAGGGTGGTCCACCCTCCCGCCCGACCTTGTCCGCCTCGTCGCTGACTCTCTCCTGGCCACCAACGACATCGACTGCTACATGTGTTTCCGCGCCGTCTGCCCCGGCTGGCGTGCCGCCACCGATGACCCCAGGAGCGACCCCTCTGACCACCGTTTCCGCCCGCGCTGCTGGATCGTCCTTGACGAGGTCTTCCAGAGCCAAGGGAAAGAGATGCTCCTGGTAAACACCCACACCGGCCGCTTCCTCCATAGAGAACTCCCGCTGCTCAGCGACCACTACGTCGTGACAACCACTCGCAATGGCTACTTGATCCTGGCGGACAAGAGCCCTCCTCACTCTGCCAGCATCCTCAACCCTCTCACCGGCGTTGTCATCCGTTTCATGGTGTCTGTGCCCCAAGAGGCGGGATCCTTTGCTGTCCTCTCCCTTCCCAGCTCTGCGCTCGGGCTCATCTTGTTCAGTGACTCATCTCACAAGATTTACGTGGCCCATCCCGATAGCAAGAGTTTTGCCGTCCGGGAGGTTCAGCAAGCACCTTATGGTTTCTTCCGTAAGGCGGTCGTAGGTGGTGTGTACGCAGACATTGTAGGGCATACCGTGATTGCTGATTTATGCCTTTCGCTGATGTCTCTTGATGCTGCTGAGCTTGCCAAGCTCTTCGCTGGCGGTCTTCGAGATGCAACAGACCTCCTGTGTTTTCTAGTGTGTTTGGCTGGACATATGTTGCTCGTCTTATATGAAAAGGGGTCGATCTTTGTTCTAAAAAAGGATGTCAAGATAGGTAAGTTCGTGGCTTTGGACAACATCGGCAGGTATGCCATCTTCATTGGTCCTCAGAGGTGCCTGGCTGTCGATGCTGACAAGTTCCCAGGCATCGAGGCAAACTGCGCCTACTTCACTGAACAACTGGGTTCGTCCGTTCATATCTGCAAGTGCAACATCAAGGACAGGAAAGTTGAGAGGATCTCTGAAGCTGCCGATTTCGTGAAGCAGGACAAGAAGTTTGCCCTCACCGCTGACCATCCTTCGACGATCATCCACCTTCTCTCCGGCTACACCCTCAACATCCCGGATTCTCAACTGGCTTTGCAACAGGTTCCATAAGCCGCCGGCAGATCTTCGTTCAACTTTGGGGAGATTGATCACAGGTCAAGGCCATTCTTTAGTCTTTTGCTTTGTTATTTTGGATATGCTTTGCCATGTAACGGGTAAGAAGTAGGTTGATCCTAGATTAGATCACCTTTACTGGAACTACTGTGTATGCTGTCTTGGTACTTGGTATGAACCTAATGCTACATCTATTGTGCTTTATGCTATCTCTTGTTGTTTTTTCCGAATGAATCTTTTGTTGTTGTTGCCTACTTCTTCTCTTGCATTACTTAGAAATGCAACCTGGTGCTTAATTAGGACCGGGAAGTTTTTGCCAACTTCAGAATTTTGGTCCTGCAATTGGACCCGCATGCATAATTGTTCTCTGCAAGCTTTGTTAATTTTGCAATGTCATGTGTTGGGCAAGACACGCTTTGTCAAGCTGCTGTATGATGTGGCTTGGGCTTACAACAGGGTACGGAAATAACATTTCATCTATTTTTCTAATGCTCTCATGCGTCCATGCCCCTTAAACTAGTTGCATTTGTAGTTTGTTGCTTGTATTTGTGGGCATTACTGTAGAAATAAAATTTGTAGAGGATGTGCTTTGCAGCCCATCATTGCTGCAAAGAACTTAAGATGTTCCCAGCTTATAAATATTAAAGATTATTTTTCTTTTAGTGTAGATTGAAATCCTGGTAAGTTCGAGCTAAATGATGGAAATTTCAAGTCTGCATTGTCCATTGAGATCATCAATTCATTCAATTAGGATATCAATTGTTTTTCTTTAAAAAAATGAGTTTCTTCAGTCACTACGCCATTAGTGGTATAACACTAAACTAGCCGCTTAGTTTGGTATCTGTGAAACCCTTTTTTGTTTCAGAGAATACATTTGAGATTTCACACTCTGAATGAATGCTTCTGCCTCTGTTATTTTAGTTGTCCAAGATAATCATAGCATGTGAATCAACATACACATAGTTCCCAAATAATGCAAAGAACGGCATTCTTAGTAACATTGTGGAACAGAGCAAAATAATGCATTTTTTTGTACTTCCTAAACATCCTAACAGAGTGAGTGAGGGGGGGGGGGGGCGCTTCCAGGATACAATCACCATTCTCTTAGTCTAAGGTTTGCAGAGAAACTAAGGACCACTTAAATTGGACCACTTAAGGCACCCGGACCGGATGGATTCCCAGCCCGGTTTTACCAAAGAAATTGGGCGGTGCTCAAGGATGACGTGACAAAGGCTGTGCTAGATGTCTTTGAACATGGGGTGCTCCCTGAGGGTACAAACGACACAGTTATAGTGCTTATCCCAAAAGGAAAAGACCCTCAATCCCTGAAAGAGTACCGGCCGATCAGTTTGTGCAATGTCATCTACAAAGTGGTATCCAAATGCTTAGTAAATCGATTACGTCCTATCCTGGATGGTGTCATATCAGAGACCCAAAGTGCGTTCATCCCGGGCAGATTGATTACGGATAACACGATCATTGCGTTTGAGTGCTTCCATAAGATCCAACATAGCAGAAACTCCCGAGATACCTATTGTGCGTACAAGTTGGACCTAGCCAAAGCCTATGATAGGGTGGATTGGGACTTCCTGGAAGGCGTGCTACGAAAGAGTGGTTTCTGCAGTAAGTGGACAAATTGGGTGATGCGGTGTGTCCGATCGGTGAGATACTCAGTTAGATGCAATGGCGAATTACTGGAACCGTTCAACCCTTCCAGAGGACTGCGGCAAGGGGACCCACTCAGCCCTTATCTATTTCTGTTTGTGGCTGAAGGCTTGGTAAACCTCATTAATCGAGAGATCTCGGCCGGTAGAGTGAATCCCATCAAAATTGCTCGCAACAGTCCAGGAGTATCTAATCTTCTCTTCGCCGATGATAGCTTAATCTTCTTCGAGGCTTCAATAGAACAGGCCGGGACGATCAAGAGGGTACTGGACACATTCCAAAAATGCACGGGACAACTGTTAAGTGCAAGCAAGTGCTCGCTCCTCTTTAGCGAACAGTGTCCAGCCGAAACAAGAGAAGGAATTAAGGCTATTCTCGGGGTACAGTCTAATTTCTTCGAGAACAAGTACCTAGGCTTGCCGACGCCGGAAGGGAGGATGAAGGATGAATATTTCCAGCCCATTACGGATAGACTGGGAAAACGCTGCAATGATTGGTCAGAGAGGTTCATGTCTTATGCAGCCAAGGAATCTCACATGAAGTCAACAGTGCAAGCTCTCCCAACCTTCACGATGAGTGTATTTATGCTCTCAAAGGGCTTATGCGAGAGATACGAGAGAATGATTAGAGACTTCTGCTGGGGGGATGAAGAAGGAAAGAGAAGGGTCCACTGGATGTCATGGGAGCGCATGACTAAACCAAAGCGTGCTGGTGGTATAGGCTTCAGAGACATGCACTTGTTTAACCAAGCACTCCTTGCCAAACAAGGTTGGAGGTTAATTCAATTCCCAGAAAGTCTATGCTCGAGGGTCTTGAAATCTAAGTACTACTCCAATGGTGATCTCCCGGATACTGTGTTTGCCTCAGATGCCTCCCTGGTGTGGAGGGCAATTGAATTCGGACTAGAACTGCTGAAAATGGGTTTAATTTGGCGGGTGGGAGACGGAAAAAATATTCAGATCCAACGAGATCAATGGATACCGGGAAAAGAATGACTTACGTCAGCCGCGTTCATTAGGAGAACGCGGCTCCCGTGGGTTAACCATCTCATGGAAGCGGAGGGGAAGGAATGGGATGTGAATCTGATCCGGCAAATCTTCCACCAGTTTGATGCAGATGAAATATGCAAGATACCCATCCCGCGATCAGATACACAAGATTGCATTGCTTGGCATTATGAACCAAATGGAATGTTCACGGTCAGGAGTGCCTACAAATTGGCTGCATCTTTAGCCTGTATAAATCATCCAAACCCCTCAAGTTCATCTAGGGATGCAGGTGACCAAAGTATTTGGGACCTCATCTGGAAAGCAAAGGTGCCTGAGAAAATTAGAATTTTTGGGTGGAGAGTAGCCACAAATACCCTGGCCACAAAAAGCAACAAATTTAAGAGGACGCTCGAGGTGGACTCGACTTGTGACATTTGTGGCAATGGCGTGGAGGATGAACATCATGCGGTGATCAATTGCTCGAACAGCAGGGCCCTTCGCGTTGCCATGAGGAAGGAGTGGTCTCTTCCATCAGAGAAATCCTTCAGACATACAGGTAGGGACTGGCTACAGGCGCTTTTGGACAAGGAAACAGAGGAAGTTAGAGCAAAAATCTTAATGCTGCTGTGGAGATGTTGGCACTTGAGAGAAGATATCCTAAGACACAATGGCAAAGAAACTATTGTGGGATCTGTGCTATTCCTAAAGAAGTATGTTGAAGATCTTGCAATAGCGGTAGCGGCTGATGATGTCCCCAGTGAGACAGATACTAGTACTCAGCCCAGCTGCCCTTCAAGGCAGAGTTTGCAATGGTCGAGGCCAGTACAAGGTACTGTCAAACTGAATACCGATGCATCATACTTGGCCGAGTCAGGCGAATCTGCCGCGGGGGTAGTTGCTAGGGACAGCAAAGGTCATGTATTGGTATCAGTCTGTAGTATTTTGTCTGACAGCCGGAGTGTAGAGGAGGCTGAGGCAAAAGCTGCAATTACCGGACTGCGTACGCTTGCAAAGTACTACAGAGGGCAGCTGACTTTGGTAATGGACTGTCATGCAATCACTAAAGAGTTGGCTGTGCGGGGACAACCACGATCTCAATGCTACGCTCTGATCAAGGATATTAAAGTAGCACTGTCAGTGTTTGCAAGCTACAGCATAAGTCATGTGGGAAGATCAGGCAATACGCTGGCTCATGGGCTCGCTGCGGCAACAAGAATTGTAGGCAATCAGGAGATCATCGCCAACGTGCCCGAAGGGCTCCGGCCACTGATGGTGTCTGAATATGTTCCCACGTAGAGTAGTCACTACTCTAGTTCTCAAAAAAAAAAAAAAAAAACTAAGGACCGGGACTGCAATTTTTTTTGCTAATTACTAGCTCAGGTCACTTGGAGTATAAATTTCGATGGATGAGATTAAGCGTTGGTAAAGCTCTCAACATAGTATTTGCTTTTTTAAATCTCAAAACAGAGGAAAAGAAAAGGGAAAATATAATGTATAGATGCACCAAACGAGTAAACCAACCTAAGGAAAAACTGGCCTGGCCGGTTAGTAAGAGCAGAGGAGGAACCGCTTTATTTTATTTTATTATATGTAGTACTGTAGATTATTGGGTAATTGACAGTCCATGCAATCGTTGCATTACACTGATAAAACTCTGTCGTTTGTGACCACTCTTGACACATCAATCAGTTGATCTTGGCTCGGAGGTTCTTGGTTCAGTGATCCACGCAGGCCTCCATGTCTGTCTCCACGCGGTGTTGTGCATCTTCGCAATTAGACTACTACCAGCATAGCTCAGTTTCAGGATTCAAAAACAGAAGAATAAAAGATTGAAATGCTTTCAAGCCAAACTCTTGGACGATCGACCTGAAATGGGGCAAGAGGTTCCTTGTTTGATGGAAATGTGGATGTGTATGTACCTCAAATTGCTTTGGTACAACCCAACTTCTACTGATGACTAGTAGAATGCCCGTGCGTTGTCACGGGCTTCTGAAATAGTCACAGGTAGAGACAATATAACACAGTCATAATTGCATAATAATTGAAGTCCACTTCATTTGGAATCAAAAGTGATAACAAAATAGCAAATTAACAATGTATACATATAAAGTGATGATCCAACTAAAAATCTATTACAAAGTATTGAGATCTACTTAATGCTCTTAAGAAATTCTCTCACAATATCAGGCAAGTTGTCTTTAGCTTCATTCGCACGATGTTTGAGCAAGTATAATAAATATTGCTTTCTCAACTTATACCCATCCTGCAAAAGCAATATATGTAGTTAGCATGAATACTTCACATGGAAGGTTTAAAAACATGTGTAACGCACAATACTCACCG